GCTGTGGAAGAAAAATTTAATGTTAATGGCATATATAAAAAATATATATCCAGCCCCGCTCCGCTCCCCTCTGACCCGGTGTCTCGTCGCTCCGTCTTCCTGTTCCAAACCACGTGGAGGGAGACTGGCCGCTGCCACGGCTGACGCCGTCGCCCCTCCGAAGCCTGCGCCCCGGAGGACGTACCCATGGCCGCCCCGGCGCACTCCCTCGCCTACACGGGCTGCAACTTCTTGCGCCAGCGGCTTGTCTTGGCCACGCTGAGCGGGCGCCCGGTCAAGATCCGCAAGATTCGGGCCAGGGACGACAGCCCAGGCCTCCGAGATTTTGAAGCCAGCTTCATCCGCCTGCTGGACAAGATCACCAATGGTTCTTGGATTGAAATAAGCCAGACAGGCACGACCCTGTACTACCAGCCCGGCCTCCTGTACGGCGGCTCTGTGGAGCATGACTGCACCGTCCTCCGCAGCATCGGCTATTACCTGGAGGCCCTCCTCTGCCTGGCACCCTTCATGAAGCACTCGCTGAAGGCTGTTCTGCGAGGCGTCACCAATGACCAGGTGGACCCATCCGTTGACATTCTTAAAGCGACGGCTCTCCCACTATTGAAACAGTTTGGAATCGATGGCGAATCCTTTGAGCTAAAGATTGTGCAGTGGGGGATGCCCCCTGGAGCTGGCGGCGAACTGCTTTTCTCATGTCCGATCAAGAGGGCCCTGAAGCCCATTCAGCTCACGGACCCCGGGAAGATCAAGCGTATCCACGGAGTGACGTACTCCGTTCGTGTGTCCCCGCAGATAGCCAACCTGATCGTGGACTCTGCAAGGAGCATCCTCAACCAGTTCCTCCCCGACATCTATATCTACACAGACCACATGAAAGGGGCCGGCTCTGGGAAGTCCCCAGGCTTTGGGCTACCCTTGTTGCTGAGACCACCAATGGTACCTTCCTCAGTGCTGAGTTGGCCTCCAACCCTCAGGGCCAGGGCCCAGTCGTGCTTCCTGAGGATCTGGGCCGGAACTGTGCCAAGCTGCTTCTGGAGGAGATCTACAGGGGCGGCTGTGTGGATTCCACCAATCAGAGCCTGGCTCTGCTGCTCATGACCCTCGGGCAGCAGGACGTTTCCAAAGTCCTCCTGGGACCACTGTCCCCTTACACGATAGAGTTTTTGCGACATCTGAAGAGCTTTTTCCAGATTATGTTTAAAATTGAAAGCAAGCCGTGTGGCGATGAGCTCAAGGGCAGGGACAAGGTGCTGATGACTTGTGTTGGTGTCGGCTTCTCCAACCTCAGCAAGACCCTCAAGTGAGAACACACAGGATGAGGGCCTGCCCGTCGCAGGAGGCCACAGGACACTGAAGGGACCAAGTCCAAGGGCGTTTCTCAGGACAGCCCAGACTCTTACACGGCAGACCTCCTGAGCTTCCATTAAGAAAAGCCCAGCGTGGGGGTTGCCCGCTTCTCTGTGGTGTAGGACGTTGCATCAGTCACCATATGAGCGCCCTTGACCTGCCTGGAGGGACAATGTCTCAGGACAGTCTCTTTCTGGAACAGCAGAACGGCTGCTCCATTCTTCTTGGCGTCTGTCCAGACCTCCTCCAGGCCTGTGAGCTCTCAGGCCTGCCAAGGCTTTGGCTGTTCTGAGCCTTGGTGTCCACAGGACGGAATGACAGCATATGGACTGACCATCAACAGTGCTGGCTCACGGATGTCAGAGACTGGTGACACGCTCCTCGTGTGTGGACAGCCAGGCTGGGGAGGCCAGTGTCCGCCTGCAGTTCTGGATTTTAGCGTTCCTCGTATGCTATAGATTTTCTTATACTTTTTCAAATTTCCCTGTCACACAGATTCCATTATCTTTTCAAGAAAATGAATTTTGGAAGAAAAAAAAATATATATATATCCAAAATATACCATGAAACTTAACATCTTAGCTGCTTTTACATGTTTGATTCAGTGGCATTAATTCTTACTTGGTTTTTTCCTTTCATGTATACAGCATACATCAATATGCATGTAGCCATATCTGCCAAACCTGTGTATGGCCACGGGTGTCGTCATGTCACTTATCCGTACTTGTTTATCTTAACTTATTACCTATACATCTACTTGTAGATTAATGTTTATTGTTGCTGATACTCAATGGCATTATCTATCCCTATTGTTGCACAAACATCACCACTCATTTTTTTCTAAAGATTTTCATCCCCTTAAATAGAGAGTGCTCATGTCTCTATTATAGTGATAAGAAGCTGGACTGCAGTCTCAAAGGCGTGTGGTTCAAATCCACCAGCTGCTCTGCAGGAGAAGGATGAGCAGTCTTCTTTCGTTTGAACTGCTTCTGAAAACCCACGGGAGGGTCAGTAGTGAGTCAGTTCCAGCTCTTCAACACACAGTAACAACAAATATAAATGGTTTACTTAATAAGCATTTAGTGGATCTTTTTAATACAATTTTTTTCTCAAAGTATTTTTTTCTTTCTTTTATTTGGCTTAGTTTTCACTTGACATCAGATACCTAATAATTTATAAATATTAAGTTTCTAACTGATTTACTATGCTTCATTAGCTTGACACATCCAAGTGAGATGCAGTTCAAATATGTAAATAGTTCCACAAACTATCAAAAGGAAGTACTCTTTTTTGGATTTCAGTGCAGCTTCTTACCACTAGGCCACAGGAGTTCCCTAAAAAAGACAGTATTATTCTATTTTGGATGGCTGATTGGAGAAGTTCTTTAAAAAGAGCTGATATTGTGCTGTGAATTTATACCACCTCAGCTGGGGCAAGTGCCTGCCTTTTTCTTCAAGCTTGGTAAAGTCAGTCAAAGTCATTGCTGTCGAGCCACAACGGACTCAGAGCTGACCCTCCACTGGCATTTCAGAGGCTGTAAGTAGCACGGGAGGAGATTGCCCATCATTCTCCCTTGGAGCAGCTGATGGATTTGAACCACCAGAGAGACAAGTCCTTTCTGCTATCATTGCAGCTCTCTCTGTACTGACTGTACCACAGAGCTCCAATAGAACTGAAAAGCTTGGTTAGTGTCTCTTCGCACTAACCTCTTAACAGGAGTCTCCTGCATTAGTCCTGATATCCTAGCTATTGATGAAGAAGTCTTGAAGACAGTACATGTGTCTCGTAGCTAGAGCGTAACTAATATGTGGAGATTATCATGCATTCTTGGGGTCTGTTATTATGTGACCCATTTGAAAATATGGAGGGGAAATCCTGATCATTTATATGAACAAGCGAATGTACTCTCTATGGTTTGTTTTCTCTTAGAGTTTCTCTAGTAGGACTTCCTGGACAAACAGATTTCACTTGGAAGACAAACTAAGTGGGTTACCAGATTCCTTCAGGCTGGAGAAGGCGGTAATTGACTCCTGGAATAGCATGAATTAGTCTCAGAAAAGTGCACAGAAGAAAATCATCGGCTTTAAAATTTCGTAGACACAGAGGATGAAGTCAGCTATGACACAGCTGGTCTAGTTTTAATATACCTCTTCTGACTCCCTATCCACCCCAACCCTAGAGGAGTTAAGAAATAGCATCTAGCCCAGCACTTCATATTCAAGCAGGATGTGAATTTGAAAGGAGTAACAGTCTTGGCTCAGTTCTGTGTTTTCAGTGAGGTCCTCCGTAACTTCTCTATTTATATATAAGACTGCTCCTGCCACAGTCTTCTGTGAGCCTTTACTTTGTTTTATTAGACTATATTTAATCCACAAATATTTAATTACCAAATTGGGATTGTTTTGTAACTTACAAGAGTAATAATTACTTATAGTTACGCCCTGTGCCTACTATTACTTCAGTGCAAGTGTTTAGTATTTCTTTGCTTGATTTGTTTAGTTGAATATGATTGACATATATTTAATCCACTTAAAATGGAAGATTCAGTGACTTCCATTTTAGAGCATTTTTATGACTTCAGAAGGGAACCTTGTACCACTTAACCATAATATTCCCATCCCCCTAGCTATAGACAACCAGTAATCAACTTTCTGTGTACAGAGTTGTGTGTTTGTGGACATTCTTGGAATGATAAGGCCATAATAAATGGTCCTCTGTGACTGGCTTCTTTCACTTAGCATATGTTCCAAATTTATTAATATATAAATATGTATCAGCACTTTATTCCTTTTTTATTGCTAAGTAATATTCCATTTTAGAACTATTACTTTCTTTACATATTCATCAGTTGATGAATATTTGATGTTCCTACCCTTTGGCTATTATGAAAAGTGCTGCAATGAATATTTGTGTATGCATTCTTGTGTAGATTTCTGTCTTTAATTCTCTGGAGTGCATACCTCATAGTACAACTGTAGGATTATAGGACCTTTTGAAGAACTGCCAAACTGTTTTCGAAAGCAGCCATACCATTTCATATTTCCATCACCTAGGTATTCTAATTTCTTCATCTCCTCACTAACACTGGTTGTTTCATCTCAGAATTTATCTCAGACACAGCCTGTACTGCACCTATCAGTAACATAACAAAAGGCAACTCATTCCCAAATGGGATTGTAAACATAGGTACAGAGATTAGGATTTAAAGCATATATTGAGAAGACACACGGTTCAGCTCCTAACACCATCCTAGTGGATCTGAAGTGGTTATCTCATGATTTTTTAAAGTTGCAGTAGGTTGGTGGCTAACAGTGTTGTGTGTTTCTTGACACACTGTGTGTGTGTGTGTGTGCGTGTGTGTGTGTGTGTGTGTGTTAATTTGTCGTGTGCTGTCAAGTCAGAACCAACCGATAGCTTGGTTTTCAGAGGTAGTAAATTGCAGGAGAGGAGATTACCCATCTTTTTTGATTCAGATTTTATGCCTTTGGGATTTCAGCACAGCTTACCACTATCTTCTGTAGAGAAATGACTGTTCAAATCCTTTTCCCACTTTTAAAATGGATTATTTTTCTTGTATCTTGTCCTTTGTTTTTTGACTAGGCTTTTCTCTGATGATTCGTTTTCTCTCTCCTTCACCCTTCCTTTTTCAGGTAGAAGAAGTGAAGCGACGGCAGTACTCGCTGGCATTCAGCTCAGCTGGAGCCCAAGCCCAGACCTATCATGTCAGCTTTGAGACTTTGGCCGAGTGCCAGAGATGGCAGCGGCAAGCATCCAAGGTAATAAGCTATGAAATATCCTGATGAGGAGATAAGAATCTAGAAAGCCCAAGAGAAGTGTGTTTTGAAATGGAACTTTGTCCCAAGAGAGCAAATTATAATTCTAATACACATTACTCAAGGTCTTTCTGGGTCTGAGCAAATGATAGCATGATCTTTATTTAAGTTAGTATCTATAATTTCATAGTCCTAATGCTGCTCTTACTAATTTTTTTTTTAGTTAAGGTTTACAAATCTTACTGGTTTTGAATATGCTAATTCACAAACATTTCATTTTATAGCATGAATTACCATTGATTATTTAATGAATTATAATGTCTGATCAATTCCTTTTTGTGTATTGCCTTTCATTTCTCCCAGCTTATCTGTTTATTGATTTTTACTCCCTTGTTCTTCCTTCACAGCCCTGTTAAACCTCCAAGATTGATTCTGTGTATAAACCTACATACTATGATTGTCTCATACCTTGTCTGTATAATTATACTTTCGTGACTGATTTATAACATCAGCATGATCTGTTCTAGATTCATCCATGTTCTGTAGTATCACATCAATTTTTGAACTTTTTTTTTTAATGACAAATGTTAGTGTTAGGGCAAATGTACCACAGTTTCTTGAGCCATTTTTATGTTGATTGTACTTGGGTTTTTCCAGCTCTTGCTGTTGCACATAATACTGCAATCAACATGGGTGTGCATATGTTAATTTGTGTTGCAGATCTTATTTCTTTAGGACATACGTACCTAGTAGTAGAGTTACTGGATCAAATATTTCTGTACCCAACTTTCAAAGGAAGTACCAAGCTCCTTTCCATAGTGGTTGCAACATTTTACATTCCCATCAGCAGTATATGAGAATGTCAATCTCTCCACAGACTTGCCAGCATTTTTTGTTTGCTATCTTGTGAATTTTGCTGTTTTTGCTGGCATGAGATGCTAACTCATTGTTGTTTTGATTCACATCTCTTCAATTGTTCATGATCTTGAGCATCTTTTCATTTATTTGTTGGCCATCTGAATGTTATCTTTGGTAAAGTGTCCACGTCTTTTGCCCATTTTACATTTGACTTTTTCTTGTTGGGGTATAGCACATAATGCTTTTAAAATGTTTTCAAGGCTCATCTTTAGCACATCTCTTTGAGGGAGGTAGTAAAAATATATACATTAGAGCCTGGTAGGAACTGAGAAACAGATTTAAGTTATTTTCTCTCTACTGTAGTAATTAAGTGATGAGTGGGACCATTCCATGACTTGAGGCCCAGTATTTTTTTGGTCTGTATTTATTTAGTACAGCCTTGATGAGCCATTTCAGATTTTAGCTTGTTGCTGCGATAGTCATGAGCAATCCTATAACAAATGATTTTTCTAATATGCTGAGGCCAGTTCTTTTAGTATAATTTCAGCTTTTATACATTTTAAAGGTAAATTGCTCTAAAAGTGTATTGCAGTTCCAAATTTTTGCAGTCTCTGAGCTATCCTTACAAAATTAATATTTCTACTAGAAAATGGCGAGCCATTGCAGCTGCAAAAAGACATTGTCTTTTCATACTATACTGCTTCCCGAAGCTTTCTATTGTTATAGTCAATAATCTTAAAATTACTTCTCGTATGAATGGTTAACTTTCCATTTTTGTAATTTGGTGTTTTTTTTTACCTTTAGACAATTTACAGCTTACGCCATTTTGCTGGCAAGCAGCTTGTATGTTCTTTTTCAAGAATATTTGTGTTTTTGGTGAAAGTTTACATAGTAAATTAGGTTCCTGTTTGACAATTCCAACACAAATTGTTCACAACTTATAATTAGATCTTCTTACCTTTCGCCTCCCTTTTCCATCTTTGTGTCCATGCTTTTCTGTGTAAGTGACATTCTGTCCTACGCTGAGAGAAGGGCCGTGAGCACTGACTGAGGTGGCTCTCTGACTTTATTCAGGTTGTGTCCCAGCGCATCAGTACCGTTGACCTCTCCTGCTACGGCCTTGAGGAGGTTCCGGAGCATCTCTTCTACAGCCAAGATACCACCTACCTCAACCTGCGACACAACTTTATGCAACAGGAAAGGCCAGGGGGCCTTGACTCACTCTACAAGTATGTGGGAAATTATTTTCATTTGTAGAATAGATTTCTACACTGACATATCAAATTGATTGAATTTTAATCATCCTAGTAAGTGGTCACGGCCACCATTATGCATATATATCTACACACACATAAACCATGGTCACTTGTTGTTGTTGTTATGTGCCATCGAGTCGTTTGCGACTCATAGCAACCCTATGTACAACAGCCCTAAACCCTGCTCTATCCTGTGCCAATCGCATTGCCTCTGACACACCCATCCTGATTACTCCAGTCACTGAATCAATCCACCTCATAGAGGGTCTTCCCCTCCTGTGCTGTCCCTCCACTCTACCCAGCATGATGTCCCTCTCTAAAGACCTGTCTCTCCTTACAACATGTCCAAAGTGTGTCAGACAAAGCCCCAGAATCCTTGCCTCCAAGGAGCAGCCTGGTTTAACCCTCTCTAGGATGAATCTCTTTGTTTTCTTGGAAGTCCATGGTACATTCAATACTATTCTCCAGCACCACAGCTCAAAGGCATCAACTCTCCTTCTATCCTCCCTAGTCATTGTCCAACTCTCTGATGCGTAACAAGTGATTGCAAAAACCATGGCCCGTATCAGGCAGACCTTAGTCTCCAGAGAGACACCGTTGCTCCTGAGTACGTTAGAGAGGTCCCTAACAGCAGACTTTCCTATCGCAATACATTTTTTGATTTCCTGGCTGCTGGTGCCAAGAGTGGTGACTGTGGAGCCGAGCAAACTGACGCTGTGAACAATCTCAATCTCTTCACCATCCATCCTGATGCTACCGAATGGTCACTTACTACAGTTATTAATTATTATACTTCACTAAATTTATAGACATATCTGTGTGTGTGTGTGTGTGTGTTTATTCTGGTTTTTAGTTGGGTTATAAAAAGTTATAAAGCGCACAGCTCAGTAGATTTCATACTTATTCATACCCATGTACTTACCACCCAGAGCAAAGTACACAGTATGAACATCTCCATCTTGTCCTCTTGAACTTTAAATACTGGATCTCCTCTCTGAGTATACAGTCAAGCTTTTCCCCTTCATCCACTTTTGTTTACCCGTTGTCTCCATCTTTGTCCCCATCATCACTCTTTTCCTGTCCTTCACAAAGAATGGGAAAGAACAAGAGAGGAAATAGAGGGAGCACTAGCGTCCCAATGCCCAGCTAGCTGTTCCTGACAAGAGATGGCAGGTTTAAGAGAGGGTAAGATTTTGCTTCATGATGTCTAGCCTCTTTAAGAGTCTCCAGATAGCTACAGCTCCCTCAGATTCTGTTTTGACTGTGTTAACACTTCATGCATCTACATAATTCTGCCCATATTGTTTGTCTTTCAAAAGAGTAGATTCCTAAAGTATTTTGGCTGTAAATTTATTTTTTTTATAGTGATACTGCTTGCATTTTTATGGGACATTTTGTGGATTGGATGAAAATTTACAGAACAAATTTGTTTCCTTTAAAAAAGTATACATATTTTGGGAGCTCTGGTGGCCTACTGGCAAGAAGCTGTACTGCAATCCCAAAGGTACATGGTTCAAATCCACCAGATGCTATGCCAGAGAAGGAGGGATAATTTCCTCCTGTACCAGTCAGATCTGATTTGACGGTACATGAACAACAAAAAAAAAAGTATACATATTTTATTTTGTGATGTTTCTTGCAGTCCCCTTTTCCCCTCTGTGGTTCCTATTTCCATACGCCCATATTTCCTGCCCCTCCTTGCTTTCAGAACCTTGTTTTTAGACAGATGCTGCCTTTTTTGTCTTATATTGTTGATTGTTCAGAAGAGTATGTTCCTTGTGGATGTTATTACTTGTTTGTAGACCTGTCAGTTATCTGGCTGGAAGGTGATCTCAGGGAGTGGATTCACTTTCAAATTGGAAGAGCATCTTGGTAGAGGTGGGTATGCAGTAAACTATGTCAGTAGATACTCAGAAGAGAATCTCAGCCCTAGGTATTCTACCAGTGTTCATCAGACCAATAAATCTGGTCTGTTTTTGTGATTTTTAATCTTGGGGCATTTTTCCCCTCCCCCTCTAAGCAGGATCTCTTTTGGTGACCCCAGTAAGAGTGGTCAGTAGTAGGATCTGGGCACCATCTACTTTTTCTGGTCTTAGGCTGTTGTAGGCTGTGTTTCAGGTGGTCCATTAGACCTTTGGATTTATTGTTTCCTTGTGTGTTTGGTTTTCTCTGTTGTTCTTTGTTCAGGGAGCTGTAGTAGCCTAATAAGTAGGGTGCTATTCTGTCCCACCTAAAGGCAAGTGGTTTGAATCCACGAGCTACTCCATGGAAGAAAAATGTGCAGTCTCCTTCCATGAGATTTAGAGTCTCTGAAAACCCACAGGAGGTCCAGCTGTGAGTTGATTCTGAGTTAACAGCAATGCAGAGAAGGAAGGTTCTTCTAGGAGCCTGGATGGCATAATGAGTAATGTTTTGGATTTCCAGCAACAAGGTCAAATCCACTAAAATGTGTTCCAAGGAAGAAAGATAGTTTCTAGCCATAAATATTTACAGCCTTGGAAATAATAACAGTGGTTCACTGTGAGTTGGAATCAACTAAAAAGCAGTAAATTTTTGAGATTCTCTGCTCCAGATGGAGAGATACTGATAATTGTATTTCATATCACTCCTGGAAAGCTTTTTTTTTTTTCACTTTTTAAGGTGTGCAACCTGGAAAGCTTTTAAGACTCCAATTGCTACTCACCAAAGTAGAATGGACAACATTGTCTTTATGGAGCATTTGACCTACATGGTCCTGAGACTATGGCCTTGAGACCTATTGACTCAGCCCTTAATGGTGTTCAGTTAAAGCTAAGAAGTTTTTGTAACTTTGTCCTTTGTATGCTCTTTTATATCTGCATCTCTCTGTTTGTGGTACGTACAAGTGCTGATATAGATAGAACCTCTAACAAACCTGCATATGCTCATGCATGTGCTCCTATATACCATCTCATAGTCATTCAGCTTACAGGCTGTGTATCCACTCAGATTATTATTCCTGTCACTGCAGGATTGTGCATATAACCATTTTTGCCATTGTTGGTGTTTCCTCTTATGTCCCTCCTATTGTCTTGTTTGTGCCTGGGTCATGGTTTTTCCTCCCTCATTGTACTGTGTTTATCCTTCCCTTCACCGTAATTACTATTAACTAGTTAGTATATTATCTAATTAGTGGGAATTTTCCTCTCCCCTTCTCATCTCTGATGGCCACAAAAAACTGTTGTTTTTCTTCCTGTGTACAATCATTTTCTTTACTTTCTTTAAAAAAAAATAGTGTGGGTGTGTGTGTGGGTGGGGGTGTGGGTTGTGTGTGGGTGTGTGTGCCCGCATACTGTCAAATCAGATCTGACTGGTACAGGAGGAGATTGTTCCTTCTTCTCCAGCAGAGGACCTGGTGGATCCGAACCATGGACCTCTGAGATTGCAGTACAGCATCTAGCCACTAGGTCCCCAGAGCTCGCCCTCATTTTCTTTGCTTTTAAATTGTGCTCTCTCACAATATTTGTTCTTTATAATTATTTCATTCAACATAATATTCTCCAAGTTTATCTGTGTTGCCAGTGTTTCACGGATTCATCATCATTCCTGAACACTGAGCATTACTTCGTTGTGTGTGTACTAGAGGTTGGTTAGTTTTTCAGCAGTTGCAGGACACTTGGTTGATTCCATCATCATCTTGTGGTTAATGCTGTGATTAGTGTGCACACATGTATGTGTCAGAGGAAATACAGCGTTGATTTTGTTTGGGTTTTTTTTTCCCTTTCTTTTTTTACCCCCATCAAGCAAGTTTCCAATAACTACTGTATCACAGATACAGCAACAGGCTGCTAAGGACTTCCTGGAAAATATCTTTTTAGAAATCATTCTCAGTACTGCCTGATCTATAGCCTGTGAAATTTTGAGAGATTTAGGATATGCAACATTACGAATCAAAGGGTTCAGACTTAATTACTTAAAGAAAATAGGATTATTTTAAAGAATTCTCCTCCTTGTAGCAGAACTTCTCTTTTTTATTGTTTCTTTTAATTCCTGTCTTTGCTGTCAGCTATGTAAACCGTCTGTTTTCATGCCTATGAGTCTATGATACATATCTGTAGTTAAAATATATAGATTTCTTCTTGTTACCTTCCCCATTTCTCTCTCTTTAACTTTTAAAAATAGATTTAGGGGAATTACTATGTGGTTGATAAGGCACTCAAGTAACTTAAATTATATTGTGATTTAAAATATAATATACATTAAAATGACCTGTTTTACATACCTTAATAGCTCTTATTTCTAGAATAACTTTCCAAAAGCACTGACAATTTTCTGTCACCTTATCAGATAGTATGGGGTTTTTTTTTCTTTTATTTATTCATTGTTGCACATTTTCTCCTTCCCCAGGTAGTATGTTTAAAAGAAACCCAACCAAACCCAACATTTTAAACATAAGCCTGTATTTGGTAATGAGGCAGCTATCTGAAAACAAGCTTTAATGTTAAGGAGTGGGTTTTTGTCATTTCCTTGTTTATCTGAGCTGCTAGCAAAGATGGGGATAATCAGTATAGTTTGAGAGCTAGATAATAAATTCTAAAGTCAAGGCCAGAGGAACCATCTTGGACGTCAGAAGCTAGGAGGAGGAGTATTAGAATGAGGTGCTAAGGAATCAGTTATAGAAGCATGTGACAAAAATAATCATCACGGAGAAAACGATCTTAGCTTTACCATCTTGACGGATATAATCTAACTGTGGCCTAGTCTGTAGTTGGACCACTAACTCAAAGGTGGAGCCTCTTTGGCAGTTTGAATCCGCCACTGACTCTGAGGGAGAAGGATGAACAGTCTCCTCCTGTGATTTACAGCCTCCTAAAAACCTGCTAGAGGATCGAGTCCGTTTTCACTCATTGACAATAATTACCAAGTATAATACTGTTAAGCATAATTACAAGTATAATCCACTTTATGGCAATAATACATCTGGATAGGACAGTATAGATAATGCTACTTATTCAAATAAAATAAGAGAATAAAACTTACTATTTCATGGTTCTTGTGAGATCACATTTTTTAAAAACCTGAAGTTTCTCCATAGAAGCAAGGATTTTGAGGCTCTGTCTCACATACTTTGGGCACAAGGCCAAGAGGGGCCAATCCTTGGAGAAGGACTTTATGCTTGGAAGGCTGGAGGGACAGCACAGGAGAGCGAGATTCCAGATTAGATGGATTAAGACAGTAACTGGGGTAATGAGGGTGGGTGTGCTAAAGGCAGTGCACTGGCTCAGGGTTCAAAGGTGTTGTACATAGAGTTGTTGTGAGTCACAGGGGACTTAATGGCATTAACAACAACAATATGTATCACATATGTATTTTCAAGCTCTAATTGGCCTATTAATTTCAAATGACATTTGAATCAACATAAGTTGGTTGTAATAGTTACATATTTGTAACTATTCTGTTTCCATCTGTTGATTTATTGTTGCAGGGCTGTTGTATGTTGCTTGTAGAAATTTTAAGAAAAAATTATATTCACACATACCAAATGTGATAAAATAACAGAATTAGCATAAGCTTGTTTTGGTAGATTGTCTACCTTTTTTAAGAAAGAAAAACTCTGAACACAGTGGACGTGGTATTTGTGATAGCGCTAGCTCTGTGTGAGTCATCTTTGTATCTGTCCTCTCTCAAGTGCAATATTTGACTTGCAGTGAGTGCTCAGGAAATACTAGTGGAGTAAATTTCAAGGTCAACATATGCAGCAGATATTTTGTCATATGTAACAGGTCTTCCTTTTGTCATTCACTAGTGTGCCTTGCACTTTTGCGGTTTAGGTTTTCTCAGCTGAAGGGCCTGAACTTGTCCCATAATAAACTTGGGTCGTTTCCTACATTGCTGTGTGACATTTCTACCCTGACGGAGCTCAACCTTTCCTGTAATGGAATTCACGACCTGCCAAGTCAGATTGGCAGTCTGCTAAAGTAAGTACCTAACCTTTATTAGATTTGTCATTTCCCTTACAGTGATGATATAAATCATGTAATTTTTAGGATTCTAGTCAGACGCCGTTTTTGACAACAGAAAAATCTAATTGCCTCTAGCAGTGACTCGTTTCAGCATCAGAGGCTCAAACTATTTTTTATGTTGAAGAGAACATCATTATGTATATTGTTGTTTACCATTGAGTCAGAACTGACCCATAGCTGAGTCTCTAGTGGGTATTCAGAAACAATTAATCACACAGGAGTTAATTGCCCTTTCTTCTCCTGCAGAGCTGCTGGTGAATTTGAACCACTTATCTTTGGGTTGCCAGTGCAACTCCTTACCTCTCGGCCACCAGAGCTCCCCTAAATTATGCATAGTTAATATATTAAATCCTAATAGAGAAGGGATTTGGGGTAATTTAGCATACTTGAATAAATTAGTGATGTCATTCAGATTCCATAATTTTATTTTAGTTCAGTCTATTCCAAAGAATATTTTTATAAAAGGTCTTGTGTTTTCTTCCTTCAGTCTTCAAACCCTCTGTCTTGATGGCAACTTTCTGACTACTTTACCTGAAGAATTGGGAAATCTGCAACAGCTTTCCTCTCTGGGAATTTCCTTCAACCACTTTGGTAATATTCCTGAGGTTTATGAGAAACTCACTACATTAGATAAAGTGGTGATGGCAGGAAATCAACTGGAAGTCCTGAATCTCGGGGTGCTGAACAGGATGAGCCATGTCAAGCATGTCGACCTAAGGTGAGGCCGTTCTTGCCCATGTCTTCCTTTAGCTTGATCTCTCGTGGGTGGACCTTTACCACGTTTTCTCTCTTGTAAAGACTTCTTTAAAACTTTAGGATTTTAAAACTGTAAAACTGTTATTTCCAGAACTCGAGTAGAACTTCACTTATCCTTCATTAACAGATCATGAGTGAGTTAGGTATATTATAACAAATATTATCAAGTTGCCTTGACAAAGATTGTTCTTTTTTTTTTTCTTTTTTCTTTTAAACATCGAAAATGCTTTATTTTCATTCCCCCCCCCATTGTTGCACATTACCTCCCACCCCTGTCCCACGTCCCTCAGTCCTCACTGCAAGGCATCCCTTGTACCAGATTATTGTCACACATGTAATGCCTAGTCATGTATTCCTTTCAGACAGTTCTTTCCCTTGTCTGATCTAATGCATTTGTCATTATCTATGCACTCTTTTCCCATTCTCACCCTCCATGTCTGCTCTATTTTATAGCAGTGGTGTTATTCAGTGTTCATCCTTTTGTGACTTAACATAATGTTCTCAAGGCTCTCCCATGTTGGGTAATGTTTTACAAGTTCATTGTTTCTTAATGTTGCATAATATTCCATTGTGTGAATGTACCCTAGTTTTTCTATCTATTCATTTGATGGATACTCATGTTGCTTCCATCTCCTTGCTATTGTGAGCAACACAGCAATAAATATGATGTTCCTACATCTGTTTTGAGTTGTGGCTTTGGTTTTGACAAAGATTGTTCTAATTTACTTTCCCACAAACAGTTTTTGAGACTTCCTTAGCTGTTATCCGTGTTGGTTTTTCGGAATTATGTATGTGTGGTATGAACATAAAGCATGCCATTTTTTTACGTATACAACTCAGGGACTTTCATTGCGTTCACTGTGTTACTACCCTCATGACTGTCAACTTAACAGTCTCTTTCATTTTTATTAGTCTTTGTTGTTGGGTACCATCGAGTCGGCTCTGACTCACGATGGCTCCACGTTCAACAGAATGAAAGCTGCCTCCTCTGCACTGACCTCACAACATCTGCTGTGCTTCAGCTCATTGTCTCAGTCAGTGTGTTGGCCTATCTCACTGAGGGTCTTTTGCTGACCTTCTCTTTCCTTTTCCAGGGATTGAACCCTCCTGATAACTTGCCCAGAGTCTGTCTAATGAACAGAAAATGTCAGTATAGTAGATGTTGTTGTTACATACTGTCAGGTCGGAACCAGCTGACTCTCGAGTGGGTTTTCAGAGGCAGTAAATCTCACAGTGCCTATCTTTCTCTCTCAGAACAACTGGTGGATTCAAACCATGTACCTTTGAATTGGCAGCACATTGCATTTCATTGTCTAAATCAACATTTATTTGAGGCTTATGAGTAGTTGGTATTTTTCTGTAAACTTGCCCAGTTTTTTGGTTGAGTCATTGCAAGTTTTTCCTTCTTGACATCTGTTGTATTTTAATAAGAAATAATTATGGTTTTACTAGTAAGTAAGATAAAGTAACCAAATTTTTTCTGACCATTTTTCCTAAATATAGTTGGAAAAAAATAAATAACAAAGAAAACAAAAACCAATTGCTAGATGTGCTATTATTTACAAGAAATCATTAATGGTCCTAGTAAAAACAAGTTTATTTAGTAGTAACAAGTTTATTGGAATACAGTAAAATTTAAACAGACCTGCATACATTAAATTATATATGTATATAGAAAAGAACCAAGAAATCACTTTGTTTAATTTACTCTTGAACTATCCCATATGCTTTTATGATCCAGACTGTTTTTCTCACAATGTAACATGAGAATTTCACTAGAGAGAGCAAGAGAACAGATAGGAAGAAGTCTGACTAAGCCTTCATTCTCTTGACGTGGTCCTCCCATCAGACTGCCTTAATACGCACTAATCCAAAGGTTTTATTAACTTCTTGTTCCGTTTTCCTATACCTTGTAAGTTGCAACAAACTCTGTTAGATATTTGGAAATATGTATTTAGTTAACTGTGGATAGAGTCCATTTTCTCCTTCTGTATTTAATTTATATTTGCTAATCTAGATTATTTAGTTTATAAACATAGAACTCAAAACTAAAGCCATCTCTGACTATTTCTGTAGGGCCTAACAAAATTAGACAAGTAGAGTTGTTTAGAGGACCAGGAAAAAGTATTATATCTTGTATTTTTGTTTTGGTAAAGACATTTAGTGTAATTTATTTCCTTGTTTCTAATATTAGGATGAATCAGTTGAAGACCATAATTACTGAAAATCTGGAGGGAAATAAATACATCACCCACATGGATTTGCGAGATAATCAACTGACTGACTTAGATCTTAGCTCCTTGTGTAGCTTGGAGCAGCTGCATTGTGAACGGAACCAGCTGAGGGAGCTAACGCTCAGTGGCTTCTCCCTTCGAACCCTCTATGCCAACTCAAACCGTAAGTCTCTGTCCATCCTCTTGTTTTTTCTCTAACAACTACAATCAGAACTATCTGATAGAGATATCTGTTATGTTCCTTGGACACAACAAAATCACATTTTGAGATTGTTGTTTGGGTTTTTTG